GTAACAATACTAATTGTTTGTGTAAAATAGCTCAATAATACAGGTAAGTTTTGGTCTATTGATTTAATCCCAAATCTTGAACATCATAAAAAAAAAACTCAATACTCAAAATACGTGACTGTGTATATACACATCCCAAAATGAGTGAAAAATAAAACTGCTAGTATTTCTTATTGATGCCGTTTGGATGATGTACATTTAGTTCCTTTATCCAAAAGCTTTCCCGAACCTGTCGCTGGGCACCACTCCAGTGAATATATATATATATCCCTGCTTTAAAGTATACCGGTCATTACGAGTGAAACATGAGACGTCGCTGCAAATATATGCATAACAAACCGAGCTAAATGTATATGTTACAGGCATTTTCTAAACTTAGGCATTTTGTAAAATGTCTGAAATTTTAGGCAACTTATAAAATACCTAACCGTGACTATACAAAATAAAACACCTAGCCTAGAATTTTTGTTAGTTGACTGAAATTCAACAAATTGTCTGCTCGGTTACAGTAGATTTGAAGAAACAAATATATCATTTAAATACAAAATAAAGGGCATGAAACTACACTGCCTCTAGATATTGAATGTTAGACTGTTAACAATGTTCACTGTTGTACCACTATTTTTGACATTTTTAACTATTATGTCTGTTTTGTTTGTTTACACATTGTTGTCAATATAATGGAATTTTATGCGACTGTCATACAAGTGAGAGGTTTAGCTAGCTATAAAACCAGGTTTAATCCACCATTTTCTATACAACGAAATGCCTGTACCAAGTCAGGAATATGACAGTTGTTTTCCATTCGTTTGATATGTTTGAGCTTTTGATTTTGCCGTTTGATCAGGAACTTTCCGTTTTGAATTTTCCTTGGAGTTCGGTATTTGTGTTATTTTACTTTTTAGATAGGGACAGAAATGTTGCCTTTCAGTAGGCCATATACGGACCCGTCAAAGTGTTCGTAACGTTCATTATCTGTGTCACTTTCCTTCCATAAGGTTCCCATTTAAAAATGGTTAGAATTAACACATCCTCACAGCAAAACAGCCAAACAGATTCCCCTCTTCAGCATGATTTTTACTGACGAACGGGAGAATAGATATAAGAAGATGTGGTATGAGTGCCAATGAGATAACTCTCCATCCAAGTCACAATGTGTAAAAGTAAACCATTATAGGTCAAAGTACGGCCTTCAACACGGAGCCTTGGCTCACATTGAACAGCAAGCTATAAAGGACCCCAAAAATGACGTGTAAAACCATTCAAACAGGAAAAAAACCGGTCTAATCTATATAAAAAACGAGAAACGAGAAACACTTATGAAACACATCAACAAACGACAACCACTGAACATCAGGTTCCTGACTTAGGACAGGTGCAAACAAATGCAGTCTATATTTCTTTACCCCAGTTTGTCCTTAGCCAATTTCAACAGGCTTTGTATAGACTGCATATTCAGTTTAATTTTATCGAATTTGCATTTATAACGTATTTTCCAAATAGCCCATTTAAAATAAAGTATTATTGCATTAACAATTATATTATTCGAATTATCTGTACAGATTCCTATTAGAATATCTTTTTCAACGAGCGTCTCGTTATGTATTAGGTTACAAAGTTGTAAATTTCTGACAACTGTTTCTATCAATGGTTTAACATTATTACTAAGTACATTGATAAAATAAATGCTCGAGTGTTTCAATATTATTATTTTCATCACATAAGTGACATTTTCCATTTGACATATGCATTATTTGTAGTCTCTTTTCGGTATATATAATCCTGTGTATACATTTCCATTGAAATTCTTTAACTTTTCTATTAATATCCATTTTACTGAGATTTAGCCAAATTTTTTCCCAATTTATATACTCGCTATACAAATTTTCCCATGTTGTTTGGCACTTAGAGGATTTATGTTTAACTGTAGATATTTTAATGTCAAATCTTTGATTTTAATGATTTTATTATTTGATTTAGAAATTCAAAGTTTTCAGAAATTTTGATTTTGTGGCTTTTTAAAGTGCTTTGAACATCGTTATTTTTTAAAATCTGCACGAATGTTTGTGGTATGGAACTTTTAATTCGCGAGTTGTGTGCTGTTGAATTGTTTTTATTATCACAAAATAAACAGCTATGTTCAATTATTTCAGTGGCTCAGTTTTTGTCAACATTTCATTCTTTTTAATAATTGTAGGCATTTTGCAAAATGCCTTTAAATTTGCCTGGCATTTGGTAAAATGCCATTAAATTTGTCTGGCATTTTGTTAAATGCCTGACACAAATTCATTTCATATATTAAACACCTGAATTAGAAAAAAGTAAATGCCTGTGACATATAAATACTAGTACTCCATACCAAGGAGCCAACGAATTATCACCATTAGGAAAGACAAATTAACGTTAGAAAAGGTGATCCCGTTTTTCATATATTTTGAATTGAAGATTACCATGAGACATTCTAATATCAAGGTCCATAACAGGATAACTGTTACTTCTATCGTTTTTTTTTTGTTTTTCAGTATTCAGGTTTTAACACTCCATTTTTATCACCACCTCACAATAGTGTTAAGGGTTCTGATTTATAATAATAATTAAAAAAGAATTGATTACATTTTTTTATTATTGTATTAATATATAAATTGTACTTCTGATCTACTTGTTTATTGCAAAGAAAATGTTATCTTTGAAGTTAGTCATTGTAAGCTCTTTACTTTATATTCTTATTGATTCAAAAGTAACTGATATTTATTAGTAAAAATATAATCTACTGGGGCTCAAAATTTTGAAAAAAAATGTTTGTACCATTTTTTATTTGGTGCGTCTTTTGTAGACGAAACGCTCGTCTGGCGTATTTTTTTTTAATCGTGGTATCTATGATGAGTTTATGCCACCCGTGTTTAAACAAGTTGTGAGTATTTTAACAAGAACCAATAAACGTTTGTGACCAACACCAATTCTTTTGTGAATAAAAGTCATAAAACACTAGGATGTATGCAAAAACAGAAACGTATGAACTCCCTTACTTCAAAAGGGCAGTTTAAAATGTGACAGGGTTAGATTAGCCTTTTTTGTGATATTGACTACCCCCCCTTTCCCGGGCCGATACCATTTTCATCTCAAATAAATATAAATACTAGTACTCCATACCAAGGAGCCAACGAATTATCACCATTAGGAAAGACAAACTAACGATAGAAAAGGTGATAAAATAATAAAAGTATACAATACAAAGTAGTTTGCTATTTAATACTCCAAAAACACAAGTAAATGTAACACTATAACGAATACTACTGTTTCATGGAATGCTTGCCGTTACAAGAAGTAATCTCTGTTGATCTGCTGATATAGGAATCATGCCATTCTACATTTTTATATGGGCCACTAATTAAATACTACTTACAAAATACTTACCAAGAAAACTTATGGAAAGACAAAAGGTAATCAAGGCAGCCATCATAAACGGCGAGGGAAGCTTAACTGAGAAAAAGTAGTCCTAATAACTAGAACAAAGTCGTGATTTTGATAAACCTTGGCCTGAAAGAATTTGTTCCTTTATAACTTCTTATCATCATTAAACTGGCTATTGACAGTTGTTTTTGTTTATTGCACTGCATGTTTTAATGCCATATTTACTACAGAACTTTAAGATATGTTTGGGGGTGCCGTAAGCTTAAGTAGAAAATGTTTGTTGTGAATAGATGCCATCTAAACGCGCAACCCATGTCTCCTTTTATTCATATTTTTAGTTTATAATCTGTAAGATGAATAGAGCACGGTGAACATGATATGATAAATATTAACAAGGTAATGAACTATATAGGACGTTGCCATGAACGCTTTTTATTTAGACCCAGCATGTCAATGATTCAATAACACAGATAACAAGTCAACATTAAGGTCTTCACACAATTAGACAAGTGTATGTACAATATGTCAATCCTTAAATCGTTTCGAATTTTAAAAATGTTGTGAATAATGTAAACAGAAACTATGATCAAAGTTCTGTCATCAACACAAAATTCTCCAAATAAATTTTTTTTAAGATATGACATAGGACAACTACTGATTAAGTTTCTGAAAGGCTCGTGAATAAATGGTGGATATAAACTGTTTTCTAAGAAGTCAACCTTCTTAATTCCGAACAGTGGAATAACAAAGGTTACAAAGTCAAGAGCCTGTCAGTCAGTGGTTGTCGTTTGTTGCTGTATATATTTGTTTTGCATTTGTTGTTGGTTTTCTATTCAGAATAGTTTTACATTTTGTTATGTACGGGCCTTTTATAGCTTATTATGCGGTATGGGTTTTGCTCATTGTTGAAGGCCGTATGGTAACCTATAGTTGCTAACATCTACGTCATATGGTCTATTGTGGATAATTGTCTCATTGACATTCATACCATATATCCTATATTATTTTATGTGCACTAAAAATCAGTACAGGAACAAAACTCTCAAATAACGGTCCAGAAGATAGCAAAAATACAAGTAAAAACAAAACATTTAGTTGCTTAGTAGATCTAGATAGCCCAAACTAATCATGCTATCTCGAGAATCCAAAATGGCGTCGGAATGGTTATTACTCATGACGTCTTTTTGATAGGCTAGCTAGGTAGCATATTGTTCAACACAGATACATATCTAAGACATAGCGGCTATATTAGTTGCTACGATATTGAACGCAGTCCAGGTGTCAGCACTTATCTACATTGCGCGTTGTTAGTAAAAGGTACTGCAATTCGAACAGCCGAAGTAACCAGAATGTATTCAGATCACAAACAGAGAAGACCCAGTGAACTTTTAAAAGAGAGATAAAGAGCATGAAATAGTAGAAGTCATCCATATCCATTAATCAAATATGACAGATCTTTTTTATGGTGAAGTACAGTATATAAATCCACATTGTCTTGTTAATAAGGAAACTTTCCTTTTTACTGCTTAAAAACAGTATCGGCAGCCCACTGATCTCATAGAATATTTTTTTCAAACAAACAAAGTAAATATGATCCTATTTTTATTGTTGAAAATTTAAAAACTTGTGAAGCTATGACAAACCTTGAATAATGATCTTGGAATATCATTTCAGGCCATACCAAGCCTAGCCAACTATTTTCACGTGCTTATGTATACATTTTTTTAGTTTCAGATATGATATTATGAACGATAAATGCCTAGCAAGTGCGGAACCAATTTTGTCTAATTAATGAATATTGAACAACGAGGAAATGTTCGTTCGTCAGTTTATCCGTTAAGCCGTCCTTATGTCCAAATTTTGGGAAAAGTTACTGAATTATTCTTCCAACCGTCCAGTTATAACTACACTTTGAGCATACCCAGATTCTTATTAAAATCATTTAAAATTTGATGCAGTATTGACATAGAACAAGGGTTCTTTTTTTTTAAATAAACCGTCCAAAGTCTATTTTGCTTGTGCGTAAATTTATAGTTGCCTGGAAAAAGGGTAATCGATACATCGCATATTTTACGACGCACGAGTTTTATCCCAAAATCAGCTACATGCGTTCAATTACGCACACCTTAAATTAAAGTATAATATTTATTTTTAGAATTATGTCAATATACATTAATTTTGATATTATACTTTTTCATTTACATGTAATATTTTTCAGTGTAATGTATTTTCAAACTATAAAAAATGTTCATATCTAACTAGTATATTCTACATAGCAACACTCCAACTGTTAGTACAGTTTCTTAACGTGTAAGTCAATTGGTTCAGACGTCTTTGATATGTTTCCAGTTGTGTCTAAAAATAGAAAAAAAGTCTTATTTTATGACAATATGACTATCTAAGTTCCATAAAAAGATACTTGCAGATGGAGGAATATGTCATACGACTTTCAAATTTTTGAAATAAGTTGGAATGTAGATGATGAAGTTGAATTTATTTTAATAGTTCTTCCTGTAGAAAAAAATGATTGCATTACTAGTGGATTTTCAAGAATGCATTGCCTGCAATATCTGAAAAACTTCTCTTATCTTGATATTACAATTTCATACCAAGCTCAAATACAGTCTGCTTTATGTTAAACAATTACATGCTGAAATACCTACTTTGTCGATTATTGTTTATTAAGAATACTTACTTCCAGCAACGTTTACATCTAAAAATCAAATCGAAATGAATTAATTTGGTCATAACTATAAATCCATTTTGATTTTTTTGAAATACTACGAAATTTCTACGCCAGGAATAGATTACCTTAGCTGTATTTAGCAAAACCTTACGGAATGTCGGATCCTCAATGCTCTTCAACTTCGTACTTTATTTGGCCTTTTTTAACTTTTTTGATTCAAGCGTTACTAATGAGTCTTTTGTAGACTTTTGGCATACAAAATTTTAATCTTGGTATCTATGATGAGTTTATTTGTACCCTACCAATTTACCAAGTTGAACACGTAGTAAACGATCAAATTAATCGGAACGTATATTACCCATGTATTTCCCTTCCACAGCACCTGAGTTTACGAAGATGGATTGTTTTGTTTACTCTGTCGCTTTCTGTGCAATATTGGCTGTCTTTTCGTCCTTTTTCTTCAGGTGATTGTGTTAATTGTATTTCTCCGACTTCTGATTTTTGGAATTTTCTTGTTTATTTTACTTGTTATTGTTCACCAAAGTCGATTTCATAACAAAAACAACCTGTTATTTACCTGATAAAACTTTGTCGTGATAACAAACCAAAATAGTTTTTTTTTTAAATGATTTTCATTTATAGTCTAGTTGTTTTTCTGGCTGGAAATCTTCACAGTTATCTAAGTTTTTCGACATGTTTATATATTTCAGCTACCATAGGGTAACCTTTTCAAATGTTTATTGTTTGAAATCTATTTTTCAATTTAAATATGGATTGTGTTCTTAAATTGCAGTATGAGTTACTTATGTATAATTTTCTGTTATGCCATTTCTTTTTACATTCTAAATTTACTTATCTATTCCTTCTTGATACTTACATCCTGAAAAATGTAACAGTCATTAGAATAATTTATTTATCAAGACACATTATAGTTTAATACAACTATATATTGCAACCTAAAAATCGTTATATAATATAATTTGTTTAAAGGCATTATTTAGAAAATATGTTCAATTGCCACTGTACATAATATTCACCAAAAGCCTTTTCTGTTTTTGTTAAATTGCTAAATCTAAAAGTCTGTTTTGATTGATTTATTTTTTATATGCCGTTCTGTCTGTAAGACTAATAGGCTTTACTACGAAATGTTTGTTTAGAATGACCGTTTGGTCGATTAATGAGCTGTCGAAATGGATCGAAGACCCTTTGAACAATATGTTTTACGCCGCATCAGCACAAAAAGGCTATATCTCGGCGATTGTCTGAAAGGAAACCATGTACTTAAATATTCGTAAAGGCTTCAGCTGAGCCCTTTGTCTCGTCTACGATTGCTGCTGTCCGGGTGAAAGTTTAATGATAAATGCTAAACAACATCTATCAAAACAACAGAGAAAAATGAATAAGAAAAAAAATGTGCTTTAGATGTTAAAAATAGGCGGAAATACTAAGGGATCATTCAAAACTCATGAGTTGAAGAGAAACTGACAACACCATGGCAAAGTTACCTGAATCATAAATAATCTTCAATCCAAATCAAGTAAAATTCTATGAAGGTTTAACAAAGTTTTTGATGTCTTAATACTTTAAACACTGAGTGTATCTAAATTTCAAATGCAAAATAACCTAAGTACATTTATCAGTACGAATATGAAAAGAAATATTTTCATAATTTTGATCTGAAAACTGTCCTTAAACATGGAGAAGCTTCTGTTAAAGTTTTGAAAAATTCGATGGAGGTTTTATAACATTATTGATCTAAAAAGCTTTTATCATAGACTGAACCAAAATGTTGCATAAAAACTTCAACGACGCCCGACGACAAGGGGACGGAATGTATAATAGCTATGTCTCACCTTCCCTATCGTCCCAGACACGACAATAAAAACACACCAATAACTAGTATGACATACAGCTTAACACCATTTTTTGGATTCAAAATCATTCATGGTCAATTAATTTATTACAAATTGTACCTCACTTAATATGTTTCTTTTTTTTCTATTTCGAAGTAAATAACAAGTTCGGACATAAATATAAACATCTATTTAAAAAATCCCATCTTAATGTTCGAAAGGTTTTCTGACATATTTCTTGTGTTATATTTGTCAAGACCACAAACAAAAACTAATACCAAGCGGACGTAAGAGTCTGAATCGCTCACCTGCCAAAAATTGAAATAAATATAAAACACTTGAAAATTAGTCAAATATCGTCATTTAAGGGCAATAACTCATTAACAGAGTCATCAAATGGATTTGGTCATATTGGCATTTTTGTAGATTTTAGTTTGTATTGTTGATCAATCGCTTGTTTCAGTTTCTACCTACCTATTATAGTTTTCAAGATTATAGTAAAAAATTGAAATGTTAGTGAAAAATTGCTTTCAGGGTTTTATTTCTCAATATCTTTTTAACAAAATTGTTGAGATAGTTTTCGGGTTTTCAATGACTTTGAGTAGTTTTGTACATTATAAGATTTCGTTAACAAATGATTTTCATTGAAATTAAATTGTATACTTATCTTTCTTTAGATACTTACGGGCTGAAAAAGATAGAATGATACATGAAATACAGTTTATATAACAGTTCGTCTGCTACAATATATATAAGATTGCCAGGTCAAATCAACAATCAACATACATGTCTATTCTAAGCATACAATAGTCTAAGTCAAAGAAAAAGTTACACATACATCACAATGATCAAAAGAAAAAGCGGAACCAACAAAAGAAAACTACATAGTAAACAACAGATTGAAGAACACGAACTGCGAATGCATATATTTCCAATATGAAACCTATGGACTTTTTAATAGTATGTAAACAGATCAGAAAAGGCTAATCTATTTTAAATCGTCGTAGATTTTTGGTTGTCCTGTATAGGTCCTGTTCGGTAGTGGTGTTCCCTAACATACTGATCCCTAACACCATAATTGAAGAATAATAGCTATTTCAGTCAAAAGTGTGGTTCACACTGAAAACGATGACATTCAAAGTATAAAATTTCATTTAATTTTAGATTCAAAATGAACTATTCTAGAATTCATGTTTAAACTAATCCGATGAGACGATATAACACGTGCTAGCAATGTGTTTTATTCTAATATATATCCATGACAATGCATTGCTTATGTTTCAGCGACTGGCACCAATGAATGAATGGTATTAAGAGTATGTTAAGTTGTCTTTTAAAAAGATTACAGATATTATCTAAAATTCAAATGCAAAGTCAAGTTATGGAGGAATATTAATGGTCTTTTGATAACCGTAATACGAAACAACGGTTATATCTTTTCAAGCAAGTTGAACCGAATATACTGTGTGTAAGCATATCTATTATTTGTTTGATTTTATTACATTGAAATAGTTTTGTAAAATTTTGGAACACAAAAATAACAGATACAAAAAGTAATAAATTGGATACTTATTTCAAACTAAAAACATGTTTTTTTTAAGAAATTTGTCTATCTTTAAATAATTTTTGATTGAGAAGTGCCATATGTAAACTCATAATCAGTGCCCATGATCTCAAAATAAAAAGAGACAGTAATAAAACGGTACATATAGAAAGAGATAGGTATAAAACGATACATATAGAAAGAGATCAGAGGCTTTGTAAGAACAGTACCCTTAATATGGTTGAAGATGAACAACATTTTATTACTAGTTGTCCAGCATACAATGATGCTAGGCAGATATTTTTCAAGGAAATAAACAATATTTGTCATAACTTTTCAGATCTCTCAAATGAGGCAATATTTGTTTGGTTATTTATTTATGAAAATTTGTCTATTCTAAAATATTTAGGGAATAATGTTTTTACATGTCTAGATGTCAGACGAAACGTAAATTAATATAATCAAGTCATAACAGTTATTATTGTAATGATTGTATGGTTCTGGTCCTGCCAGGAATCAATTGTACATGATTATATAAGATGAAGAAATATATGTAGCTCTATAACTATATGAACATTTAATATATCATTTCAATGTAAAAATTACAATTTGTATTTTGTTGTTGTTGCTATATGTCTTGGTGAATTGTTTTGCGTATAAATAACATGCTGCCCATCAAGGGCCCTTAACTGAACTCTAACTATTCTTATTCTTCTTATTCTTATTCTATACAAAATATACTTATCTGCTATTTGCTTTGTACTTACAGACTGAAAAAAAAAATACAACAAAAAATGGTACTATTTACTATACGCTATAAATGTATTCAATTTATCAATTACGTTGTTGTACTAACAGCAGGGTTGTAACCTATCCAGTCAAGGTTGACATGAGACGATCATGGTTGTCCTATATATGTCCTTTTTGTGCATATAATCGATTACAAGTGGTAGGTTTACCTAGTTTTAAAACCAGTTTAGCCCACCATTTTCTTTGGAGAATACCTGTACCAATTCAAGAACATGACAGTTGTTTGCCAGTCGTTCCGTTGGTTGATATAGTTGAACGTTTGATTTTGTCAGTTTCTATGGACTCCCTGTTTTTGAATTTTTCTTGGGGTTCGGTATTTTTTTTCTTATATTATTATGTATTTGGTTCACAGCTTTTGTTCTCGGTTGATCTTGATGAAGTTTATAACAGAAACATAGAAAAAAGTGGCGGAAGATACAAAGGGGACATTCAAAACCCATAAGTCGAAGAGAAACTGACAACGCCATGGCAAAAAAAAAACAACAAAAAAACGACGAAAAGACAAACAAGTCCACAAAACATTATATAGAAATATAAAGATTGAGCGACACGAATCCCACCAAAACCTAAGATGATCTTAGGTGCTCCGGAAGGGTACATATTCTGCTCCACTAGTGGCATGATACGTTATTATTGCTACTATGAATCGACAGCTGCAGGTGAATTGTCTTATTCTGTTCGTACCACCCGTCAAATATACGATGCATTTGCATTTGCATGGTGTTAATGATACATTGTTATTATAATTTTTAATATTAAATTAATCATATGTATTAGATCTAAGGTTGTAACTCCCTCAGACAAAGTTTATTATAGGCGATGTTTGCATGTTATGTTTGTGTTCTATTAGATTTAATAGTGTTGAATGCATCTGTCTGCGATGGTGATATTTTCAACCGGTTACATCTCTATTTTACTAATATACCCAATAGGAACAATCTATCTGCTCATGAATTTACACAACATAAAAAGTATTAGATTTTGATCTGAATTCTGCATATTTTGATTATGAGTTGGTAGATCATTGTAAAGTGTAGGTTTGTCTCGTTTGTGTCATTTTCGATATCACTCACTCAGACAAGGCTAGATCATTTCAATTATAATATGATTTGCATCGAGCAATTGTATTTGTATATTGTATTTGTTAAGAATCTACGTATGAATAAAATGAGGCGGAGTGTACATTTATGAAACAGCAAACCAATCATAAAATTAACCAACAAACACATCTAGAGGGCAACAGTCTTTAACAATAGCTAGGTATCTATACAATACTCATCTTTATCTTGCTTGATACTTACTCACTGAAAAAAAATTGTTAATTACGAACTGATATTTAGAAATTTTAAAAATTTCTTAATAACACAAAAATGACAAGAATAAGTTGTCATGTTAGGAGGTAATTAAGAAAGTTGTGAAACATGATTTTTTTTTTAGTATTAGATTACTAAGTATAAGTACAAGTACGCTGTACAGTAACTATGTCTATAGTAGCGCTCGTTTCTTTGGTGCAAGTGGTTGATGGATAGTCGTCTCATTCGCAATACATATCTCGATTATTTTTTTATTTTCATGTTCATGTTCATTCTTTTTAATAACGAAGATATATACTTTTTGCATTATTTGCTATTTACAAATATTGATTTTCTTGATACTAGATTTTATATTTTCCTCAAGCCTCGAAATGGAGGTGTTGAATCCGATGCAAATGGTGAGTAGTTAATGAAGGCGACAATAGTTTCCGATGTTCAAATTTCGAAAATCGATAAGAAATAAGCAAATCAAGGTAACAAACAAAAACTGAGGGAACCCCTTGAACTCCAAAAGAGATCGAGACCAGGTGCGTCTTAAGTTTGTGTTTCTAATATTATGATTATTTCGTTCTAAACGCGTTTTATATCGAAATTACAGAGATCTAAATGTATCATAAAACCAGATATTAACACCACAATAGAATGCGAAGAGGTGTTTAGACCTTCCCCAAATGTTATGAATATCAGCGATACAATATGTTGAAGCACATGTTTATTATACGCATGATAGAGCTTCTTCGTTTCACGCGAGATACATTTTTCAATTGACGATCATGATCTCATCTGATTGTCATCCTAATCCATGCCCAGGATCCCTAAATATTCATGTGGATTATGCAGTAAAACAGTATGCTGGTCAACAACAGTGCGATCAGTAGCTTGTACTGAATGCAAAATTTTACTTCACTAGACTGTTTTGGTATGAAAACAGCAGTGTACGAGTCATAAGAAGCTATATGATTTAGTTGATGTTGTTGCGGTATACCAAACTTCAAATCAAGATTTTTCAATGAATTTGAGTAAATGAAAGGCAGCGCTTCTACGTCCAAATTGATTTCTAGAGTGGAACATTCACTTGACACAGGTACATCTGACATATATTTTGGCAACCCAGTCCACACCTATGATAGGAAAAAATGTACAGAACGGGACAAACAACTCCATACAAAAGAAGAGCAGAAAATTGATTAACTTTCAAAGCATTAGGAAAAACAAACATCATCTAAAACTACCAAGCCTATTTTTGTCTGCAGCCTTATTATACCAACAGATAATAATGTTGAATACACCCTATTCAACACTATGTAGGACATTGACAAAAGTCATCGGGTCACATTATCTGGATAGGTAGTGACATCAATCTTCCGAATATCAACTGGAAAAGCAACACCATCAAAAGTCATCGATATTTAACACCAATAGCCAATCATTCGTCGACACGTTCTGAGACATAAGTTGTGAACAGATCATCAATGTTCCAACTCGTCATAATAACACGTTAGATATCTTCTCTACAAACCGCCCCTCATTAGAAGGTGAATGATTATTACTAGCTGGTCTCAGTGCTCACGATGTAGTCCTTATAGATAGTAGCTAAATCCCATAAAGGAGAAGGCATCTACAGGGCCATATCATATGATCCAGGGCTAAGATTGAATCCATGAACGAAGACCTTGAGCTGAATACAACACCAATAATTACAAGTAACACGCTATGGAATGAGTTAAAATCAGCATGAACTATATCATCAAAATATACTATAACCAGATATAGCCAACCATAGTGCAATCGTAACACCAAGGCAAACAGCAAGACAAAAAAGAGGAACCATTACAAGGCAAAACTTAACAACATGAAATCAGATTGAGAATGGTACCATAAATTGTAGACAGAAAGCAGTGCAGCTTGAAAAAAGTCCATTTAAACAACGTGATCTCCGAGGATAAAACAAACAAGAAAGGATAATGTATGATAAGAGCCATTATTTGATCACTGGAATTGACTAAAATTGTTATATAACGCATAGTTGTTGGTCTAAATAAATATGAGCAAGAGATATAACCAAAAAGATATTTTCACACATTGACATCTGTGTAAAATACCTTTGTAGCAAACCATCGTTTTGGTAAAGCTCTTACTTATAACTAAATAGTAATGACAAGGTTTCAAAATTAGCCTTCCTTGGTAGTTCCTATATTTTGCACTAAAATAAAACATGTTTGAAACCCTTAATGTCAATATGACAAAATTTTAAAATCGAATTCCTGATGTCCGACACACTAATGTCTTATGATTATTGTAAGGATGTTATGTTGTAGATTTATAAATAGTTTTTTTTATTTTCATATTCAAGAGACCAAAAGGGGTCTTATCATACCTTCTTCTTTGTCTTTTGAATCAAAAGCAGGAAACCAGAAAATTCTGGCATCGCCCACTACGTGATGACAACACACTACATCCTTCGTCAGAAAAAGCTGAAACACTTACTAGTAACCACTTATTTTCATTGTTCTTGAACACAGAGAATTTAAACTACATGTCTAACAAGGGGAACTCACGATACGAATTGGCACTGATTATTAAAATATTACAAAATGTTGTACTCAATTGCTTCAAAGCTTGAATGCCAACAAGATAAGTGGACAAGGTCACATTTCTACAAATTTATGAAGACTATGGCGTCGGGATTTACACTAATCTTAACTATGATCACACATGCCTCAATCGACCAAGGCACAGTACAAGATGACAACTGAGAGTAACCCCGAGAAGAAAGGAAAAAGACAAAAGCATCCAGTATCCCTTACCTCTGTCTGCTGTAAGGTTTTAAGGTCGTGAAGTGATTGAATATATAGTATATACTTTAGTCTAGTATTATATATACAAGTAATCACACACAGATTATCGGTCATATGGAGGCCAATAATATTTTGACTGATGAACAACATGGATTCAAAAGAGACGATGTTGTAAAAACAAACTCTTCAAAACAATCAACGACCTCATCAAGGAGTAAACTCAAAGGCAAAGAAAGATGCTATCCTATTATAATTCAGCAAAGTAGCGAAGTTCCTCTTGAACGAGTAGCCACTTAATTACACTATTTTGGAGTTACAGACACACTCTATCTTTGATTAAAATCTTTAACCACCCAGTTTCTTGGGGAAATGCATGTACCAAGTAAGGAGTATATCAGTTGTTTTTCACTTGTTCCGTTGGTCGATAGCGTTTGATTTTGTCAGTTTTTATGAACTTCCTCTTTTTGAATTTGCCTTGGAGTTCGGTAATTTTGTTAAACTTTTTTACTCTCAGACAGACAAGTAGTCGTCGACGGCGTATTACCCAAAACAGTCCGAGTAACATTAGAAGTACCTCAGGGAACAGTATTAGGTCCATTACTGATTCTAGTTTATATTAACGATCTGCCATCTGTAGTCCATTCCAGAGTTCGTTTGTTTGCAGATGATTGCGTGTTGTATAAAACTATCAACACTAAAAATGTCACTAACACCCTTCATCAGGACCTAGACAAACTTCATATTAAACTGAATGATGGGCTTCAATACCAATAAATGGGAAGAGATCCGCAGAAACAACACGCGGAATATCATCGAAACCGATTACTAGTATTCGATCTACGGTCATACATTGCAAGTGACATACAAGGTTGAATACCCATAGACAGCAATATCAAATGGGTTCCATAAAATTATGTCACCAGGAAGGCAAATACCACCCTATCATTCTTGAGGATAAACATCAATAGCTGTCCAACGGAAACAAAACCATGGTGCGCCTACAGGTGAAATATGCATATTCTGTCTGGTAAAAACCCCACTTTTTAGTGACTTATAATCTACACCATTACCGTAACAACCAGAACCAATTACAATTTACTTCAAGAGATATTTGTATTCTAACTTTAGAATAGGCTACAGAGCGTGTCTAAAGACCTTTGACTGATTTGACGTATTTGTTCTATAGGCGATCTTAAAAATGATATCAGTGAATTCACGTTGGAATTGAATTTAACTTTAATAAGCTATATCCTCAATTTATTCAACATGTGTTATATTTTGATATTGTTCCTCGGTTTGTGCCTTGATTTATTATTGGTTCTGAACGATCAGAGTAAATGGAATGTTGTCTCAGCTCAGTTTTGATCAAGGATTATAGGTATTATAATATGAACTGGTGCTTTCATATATAAATATACTCACTGTGATGGAGAAATCATTTCATGTCTGAAATTAAAAAGTAAACATCAAACTTTGTTTTCTGGTTCTTTGATAGCAAACGAAATATTCAGATAGACTTTTAGTCTGTGAGAACATGATTTATTTATTATAGTTTTATCGGTTTTGAACTAGCTTTCAGTAACTGTGAGTACTCTAAAATCGGTGTTTTATGTGCTTCTAACAGTTCTACTGAGTTTAGCCATTTCTAACTGTTTTTCCCGTTTGTTTTATGTTGTTCTTATGTTTTGCTGTAATACCTTTGTCCCAGGTTAGAGGAGGGTTAGGCGATCGCAAATATTTGTCTCGATTTATTATGTATTTTACGTTTTATTGGTTTTTATCTGATAATAAGCTTTCTTTAAAAAATACTTACCCGCATCTGCATTGATATAAATGTCCATGTGTGGTATCTTTTGTCAGGATGTGCCTGCAAGGTTAGAAATGAAAATGATTATTCATAAATATTACATTATAAATTCAGACCATCAGGAAAATCGCCAGTTGTTTTATTCAAAAGTATCTGTCCGTCCAAGACATTTTAACCTGAACTGTTAGTGAATGTGATATACACATTGTTAACTAGATGTCTGCTTTAGGGGTCTACCAAGTATTGTGCTGTTTGAATCAATGTGAAGAGAACAAACAGACTTTAACAGTCCAACGTATTGGTTTCAGTTGTGAACAACTATTCCAGACCAGGAAATGCATGCTACTTGAACGGACAGTCCTTTTTATTTTATTTTTTTTATTCTTTTTTAGAGGTATACGGCTCTTATCGGCTAAAACCATCTTAACTACAGAAACAGTCTACTATACCAGTCCATGTACTGTTATGTAGATGCATGTCAATGTCTTTTTAATTTTTACTTGTTTTTAACACATAATCTCATTAAATTATGTCTGTTACTACTTGTACTTGTAGATCATAAACTGTTACCCTGCAGCGATAAGTGAGTTAAAGAGTTTAACGTATTTCACGTAAATCAACGTTTTATTTCGTGTGTGAGAATATTTAGTGCTTCGAACGAGTGTTATTTTCATCGATCTATTTGTTTTCATTTTGCCTTAAAACAATAATATATACTTATTGCATATTCATTTGGATACATTTAATAATTAAAATCATCTCTGTCACATGGTAGCGTGCTTGTCTTGAGTTTGAGAGGTTGTAGATGAATTTCCGTTAGTGTCAACCGAAGACACGAAAATCAGTATTCGTTGCTTTTTCGCTAAGGAAGAAACAACAAAGATATATTCACAGCTAGGAATCAAAATGTCTTTGATATATCCAGGTATGCTGTCGTGGCATCCTGTGGACTGTTCTCTTAAGGGCTTGTACATAAAAAAAAGCTAGTATGTCGGTGTTGTAAAAGAGCCTAAAGTCTTATGACATTAACATAGTTATCGTCGAGAATTTGCATGCAGATTTTTCGCACACCCGTTTACAAGCATATGTAATGGTTAACTATATATGGACGGACATAGTAGCGTAGAAACAAAATATAAACCCATTACGATATCGATAGTATCTTAACTTACATTCTAGATCCACCTTCAATATAAGTAACATGCGTCTCACTGAAAGTAAAAGTATACATGAACGTATAGTATCATTGACAAAAATTTTAAATAAATTCAAAGCATCGTTTGTGCTGTGAGCCAGATATATAGCTAGACGAACTTTTTTTCCTGTTCAGAGAGAGAGAGAGTATAAAAACATATGAGTGTGATAAATACAGTTGCAGAGATATATGTTTTACAACTTCTGTTTTCAACATATTTCTAATTTAATGAATTTGATATGGTTGGACAAAGGAATCTTCAAAGGAGGTGTCGTACATTTTTTATTGAAGTTTTTTTTAATAATTTCTAGAAAGAGGTATTGAAAATGCACTTTTTCAACAACACAATATAACGTTACTAATTTTTATTCGAATGTTCATTCTTTTGCTTGTTTTCTTCATTGGAAAAATGCATTCCTGTATCAAAAATATACATGTATTAATACCTTAAAAAAGGCAAGGTTAATCTTAAGATGAGTTTTGGTTTTTCTTTTTGTGTCCTTTAAGGTCATATAGCTATTCACGATTTTAAATGTTTTACTTTGACCGTTGTGATGAAGGTATATTCTGAAGGCACGAAAATTTAAAAAGTGTTTATTTCATTGAACTGTTAAATAGACCATGCTTGCATTTTCTTATACATGTCTTTACTTTATTCTTTTCTTTGACAAAAAAGGTATTTTATTAATCCTTAATCTTTCATCTTGGAACATAAATTACATAATAGATTTATGTAGTATAGATCAAAAGTAATTATAGGCATTTAATGATATCTACCATTTCTATATATCGACTATCTAACATACTATTTATTCCGGTCAAAAATTGTGTATTAAGTTGAGCATTGAGTTGTGTGATAAAGGGTCTGTTCAATTATGTAATACCGGAGATATAGATATTAGCTGTGGTCAATTAATATTGGCATTAAAAAGTTAAGAGATATTATCACACACTCCCCTGGCAGGTAAATTATGAAATGTACTTCGAATGCAACAATCTAATAACGTTTAATGTTTAAGCACCACTACCATGCACTGGACCGATACTTCCACCCGCAGAGTGTTCGAGTGTTAGTACCCTAACATATCGTTACTCCCCTGGTAGATAAAATCAAGGAATGTACTTCGAATGCAACAATAGAAATAAATATCAACATTAATGTTCTACTACCATGCACTGGGCCGATACCTCCACCGGAAGAGTGTTAAAGCATTGGTGCCCTAAGATATCATCGCTCCCCTGGTATGTAAATCATGAAATGTATACTTCGAACGCAACAATAGAAATAAAGTGTAACGTTTATGTGTTACAGTAAATGTGTATAATTAGGGATTATGTATAATCCCTGAAATTGATAGGGAAAATGTATAATTACTGGCAACTTTATATTTAAAATTATATATAATCACTAAAATTTTCAGGAACTATGCATAATCACTAGCAAAAATGTCAGGGATTATTCATAATAACTGGAATGATGAGACAACGTATTTTATTTTAAAAAAAAATGATATTTAAACATCTTTAAAAAAATGAATATTAAAATGTTTAGCACAATACTTAAATACAAATCATTTATTTTCACACACTACGTTGTAAATTTGGATGACATCTAATAAATTGCACATTTACTTATCAAACATTGTCATGCTCCTTTTTTTTGTTTTTTTTTTGGTTTTTTTTGCAACAAAATCCACCTAAAAAAAAACCTTGTCCTTCACATATATATTGCATCTGATTTTATCGAATGTCGAAGAGAAAAAAATGATTATAAGTAGGTACCAAAAAGGTGAATCAGCCACCTCAAATTGATTTCTTGTGTAGGACCCGAGCAAAATTCTGTTTCGTAGCCAGACAATATCCTTTTCAGTCATTTCATGAACAGTGGCCATTATATTTTTTGGATCTTACTTTCTGCGATCAACATGCAGAATCTGTATCAAATCAATACAGCAAATGTTTGTCTCCTCCAAAATTGTGTTCAATCTGTCAAGCATGTTTTCTGTTCGTTTTCTGTACGTTTAGTTGCATTTGTTTGCTAAGTTTTAATTCCTTGTTCATTTGATAAAAGAAAACAGAAAACAAATATTCAATAGCAATCAATGTCTGTTTTTACAGCAAATTACATGCACTTGCAGTGCATTTACATTCAGAATACATACGAATGTGCATTTGATATAAAAATAAGGAGATGTGGTAAGATGGCCAATTATACAAAATCTGTGAAAAATCAGGAATGTTACATAATCTCTGATTATACAAATTTACTGTAACATTTATACTATATTACAACTGGCAAGGCCCTAAGATCACACACACACACACACACACACACACACACACACCCTCACACACACACACACACACACTTTGGTAGGTTAAATCATGAAATGTACATCGAATACTACAATAGTAAAAGTTTTGCGTTAATGTATTTCTACCACTAGGCCGATACTGCCACTGGCTGAGTGTTAGCGCCCTAAAATATTATCACCCACCCCCATCCCCACCCCAGGTAGGTAAATCATGAAATGTGTACACCAAATTGTAATAAAATTTCACGTTAATATACTTCTACCACTAGGCCGATACTATCAAAGGCTGAGTGTTAGCGCCCTAAGATATCATCTGAGATATGATATGAGGTTATTTTACATTTCTATAAAATTCTATTCTTATGAATTCGACCTCATCTGGTAAATGTCGAAAATCCATAAGAAATAGGATTGCTACTTCCCAATGCAATATATGTTCATGCCACTTCTATTAAGAACCCTTATGTTAATATAACTCTATGTACATTTATCTATTTTTGACTATATCTGCATCTGATAATGATAGTTTCTCGTGAAATTAATTCCAAAACTCTTCGATACGGGTATGTTTTGTTTTGGGTTTTAACAAATTGTCGGCAATTCAAAAATGATATAACATATATATACTTGCCTAAAATCACTTTTTCCGAGGAGTTCAGTCAAATAATTATTTGTTGTTACTCCTGGTTTGTATGAACTAGTTGGACCTGCTACAAAATGTATTGTTTGAAGTTTTTCAATTTCCCCAGCTAGAATAAGAAGCTTAGAAAGTAAAGTTGACGAATCATTTTTGTTTTTCTGTAATTCATTCTGTTTTTGTTCTAAAACTGATGCCTTTTCAAGAACAGTCCTGACATCTGTAAGAATCTTTCTTACTCGTTCTTTCTCCACACTGGCTTTCTTTTTTGTAGTAACGACCATTTCGTCGACTTCCCGGTCAATTAACTTTTTCAATTTGCTGCCATGTTCTTGAATTGCTTTAACAGATACTTCTACTTCCGAATCAAATTTCTTAAGACTTTTTTCTACAACAGTAACATTACTAGCTGCAGCATCTAATATTGTACGGATTTCAGTTCTTGTTACTTTAGTTAGACTTGACACCGATTCGTCAATATCAGACAGTTTATGTCCATTATGTTTACCTGTAATGCATTTTGAACATACCGACACATAACAGTCATTACAGACAAAAATCGTGTCTTCTTTATGCTCCTTACACTTAGATGTTGTTGTTTTGATACCCTGTACAACGTTTACACTATCTTTAAATGTGTGATCTTTGGAAATCTTTTGTCTGTTGTGCATAGCTTTGCAGTTATCACAGAAAAATTGTTCACATGTGGTGCAGTATTTTGTTCCAGCGGAACTCACACAAATTTCACACGTCTTTAGAGCTGTCTGCGCCATTTTGAAACCTCATATACACACTTGTCAGTTAATTGTTAATTTACTTCATCAATATATTTATTCCACGACCGAATAATTTTAAATAGGTATATATATATTGATTTTTGTCGTATTTTTATTCAGGTAAAATTCTTTGGAACTCGTGTGTACTTGTCCTTTATATCGGCTTCACACAAAATTTAAATGCAATTACAGCATTTCGACTTATTTATAGCATTAATGAGACATACGTGGAAAAAAACCAAAGAAGTGTAACCATTTTAAAAGAAAAAAAACAAAATAAATTACAAATGTGTTAAATAAATCGCCATTGTCATGGCTGTTGAACATGCCTTTAAATTTTTATCATTATAGCTCCTCGAGTATTTATACATCCCCAGTGATACAGTTTTGGTCGTGAGGGTTCCTGATTGTCAGGGGTGGATCCAAGATTTTAGTTAAGGGGCACAAATTTAAATTTTTGTGGAGGTAAAATTATTGAATATTCTTCTAGAGTGGGTGGATAACCTATGGCAAATTATATGGGGGTGTCGCACGCCCGCCACGCCTACGCCTGAATCCGCCCCTGAATTTAAATCCAGAACAGCGCGTTAGAAGCGCCAAATTAATGCGATAACTTTAAGATTTATAAACACTTAATTTGATTGCAATAGCGCTATAACGCGTTTTCCATTCATATATATATTATAAACAAGGCATTAAGTTGACATTAACGGTATCAATTTTATTTGAATTAGATTGACAAATTATCATACCCAACTATATCAGTCCTATTCAGGACCGATAACTCTGTCGATAAATATTGTCGGGTATAAATGTTGTTGAAATCAGAGCAATTGTATTATATGTCTCTGTTGAAATGTATACAATAACAAATTTTTTTACACAAGTTTAACTTTATATCGATTTATTGAATGCCTGGATTTTGCTTAAAATATTGAATTAAAAAAATAAATAATAAAATCATATTCAATGAAATCTCGTTTAATTTTTTACGAAATAATACAAAATAAAGAAACATAAATATTAGTTTGATTATCTTTTAAAGCAAAAATTATTTTTTTAAAGATTTTTTTTTATAATATTCATATTTTCTTTAAGTTTATTATGATACATACTTCTTCTGGTTTGACACGGGGAAGAGAAGATATTTATTTGTACAGTTATGAAAACTTTTGTATATCACAAAATTTAAACTCTGGTAATACATGTATACACAGGATGTTTAATGTCACCTGGTTGCTTTTGGTTTGCACGTCTACCTGACAATATATTGTTATGTAACATTACATCCAAAGTCAGAGTTCACCTGTTCGTCAAGTGATGGGATTTTGAAGGTATGGAATATTTATCTATAATAATTGTTGGGATTTTTTTCTCTCTTGGGACGTAAATATTTTTTTGTTCTAAAAGGAATGTATAAATATATTTCTAAAGAAAGATAAATTATACAGAAAACAGGAAAAAAACCTTTTAAAAAAAGAAGAGAAAAAATTTTATTATAAATTTTATTGTTAACTATTTTCTGGTAACAGTATATCCTGGATATCTGTCAAAATAAAATTTTCCCGTGTCACACTTAAAATAATATTTTTTTAATCAATAAATTTTGAAATCAATCATATCGAAATATCACCAAAGAAAATAACAGAAACATCAGAGATTCTACATGAAAATTAAATTAAATCAAGGAAAGTCTTACTATACAAATCCTCGATTTGCTGCAACATTTCCATATACATCATCCGCCATTTTGAAAAATCCCGAAATATTCACTTTTTTAAATCGATTTTTGACCGAAATTGCCCAGAAATTAAACTGTTTTAAATAGTATTTTTCGCCATATATATGTTTGAATATACTTAATCGAGTTGCAAAGTTTTATTTTTATTAACGGAATTTCTTTATTTGTTATACAAGTAGACATGGGTATCGGTAATTTAGCATTGAGTCAACGGAGAAATAACGAGAAAAAGTACGTTTTACGTACTCCAGTGACCGAATTTAATCAAAAATTAAACTGTTAGGACCAACATTGTTTGATAGAAATATGTTTGAATATCAAGGATTGATTTGCAAAAGTTAGAAAACGGGTCAGGTTCATGAGAAAACTCAACTTTATTGAAGCACCTATGCATTTTATATGGGGCAATATAATACAAAATGGCGGCTAGTATACGTCACAAAAGTCACGTGATGTCTGACTTAGTTGGATATGGACACGTATCAACTCAAAAAAGACTTATCTTTTCGTTTGTATGTTAATCACTCAGCTATCCAAGAATTTCAAATGTTCACTGCTTTCATAGCTTTAATTTCGTCTAGTCCATTTCTGGTCAAACGCACGCTATATATGACTCGAAATGCAATTCATGAATTCACGAAATCCGAAAAGGTCGAAAGGTTTCTCGTATTTTTTTTTTTTAATCATTTTTGTGCCTGAAAGCAACAACAAAATTATTCGTTGGTTAATACGTACAGTCGAGCGTTTGTGTTTTGGCAGTTTTCATGGACTTTCCCTTTTTTGATAATAAACGCATCATAGATACCAGGATTAAAATTTGGACGCCAGGTGCGCGTTTAACTTGGAGTTCGGTATTTTTGTTATTTCCTTTTCTATTGTGTAATAATCAACTATATTACAACCGTTACTGATGTTCTTCATTTACTCAACTGACGTTTGTATTGTTTGTAAAAGTGTCTTTTTTCTTATAGGACAGATTTCTACAGCTCGATCTTATAACAGAAAAAAATAGTTTATCATCCGTTTAAATTTGAATGCAGAGTATACTTGGCACTTCATTTCAAATTTCCAAATGATATGTTTTACGTAAATAAATCCCTGTCGTCACTATTGAAGTTTTCCATCAAAAACTTGGTCAAAGTTATCTGCTGTCACTATTAAAGTTTTTCTTCAAAACACAAAAAAGTGTTTGGCGGGAGTTCAATGTTTACAAAGAGAAATAAGACCCTAATATACTTCTCACAGAATGATTGCTTGCAATTACTGTGTATTCTGTGTATTACCATTAGGATAAGGCGAAGTATTTTGTGCACAAGAGTGAAAAGCTAGGGGACAAAAAAACTGGTTGCAAAGAAGAAGACAGAAGTACCTTCAATACCTGGTCGAATTCAGGAATTATTTTAGAATGTACAAAGCGATATTCAATCTGCTTCTTAAAAAAGTGGAATCACTGATTTAAATAAATTCATCTATCATTTTTTTTCTCCCTAGCAATTTTCTTTTACTCTTACTGGATCGAACTCATCTGACTATTCCCACCAATTTTGCCATGTGCTTTTGTTTTGTAAAAAAAATGCCTCATTTCCTTATTAAGCTACACTATGACTGACTGATTTCCGTCGAAGTCCATCCAAGTCTAGAATCTATTCCATCAAGTCCGTCAAAGTTTTGTTTGACGATCGACCCTATCCAAAAACATTGAAAAATCCTTCAAAACCTTTGTCCAAGTTTTCTTGGTCAAACTTTGATAATGACAGCGGGCCCGACCCTGAACACTCTATATAATAGTTCCCGGGAAATAATGACAAATACCAAGGATTTATATAGTAAGTCTTATTATACAAATCCTTGCAAATACTAAATTCGGTTATTATGTATACATGTATGTAAATTGTATAATCATTACAACTGTATATTACTGCTTATATATAAATGTTTATAATCTCATTCGACAAATTTCGACCAGCCCGTGATGTTCACAGCACGAACTGCTTGTCAGTAATAAAAGACACATTATCATGATTATGATGGGGGTTATTAACGACCTTGACTGGCTATAAAACCCTCGCACGGTCGGCTCGTGCCCGGAGGCGATTGTTAAGCATTAAATATTTTCTGTTGCAGTTAGTCAGGAACAAGTGGAAGGCGCCATTTTGGTAGGCGGCCATCTTGGTTTACGCGAGTTGTTTTGATTTTTGGTTTTTACTATTTTGATGTTTCTTTGCAGTATGGACTCCACAACGGCTTCTTCCAGGGCCAGGTTGATCAGCTGGACAGCCCGCTAACCACGACGATGTGTTCCTGGTAGATGAATCATTGACTCCGTAGTGAATGACTGCAAATTGCACTAAAACTACGATACACATAGCCCTCGGACGTCTGGGCAGCATGTGACACTCACCCATCAACAACGGGTTTCAGAATGTCGCTGACGCGGGTTTACTGTACGGGAGCCTCATAAATCATAAACTAGTTTGTCTTAGAACCATCTGAGCAGCGTAACATTTTGAAGCTAACGGATATTCATGCAGGAGTTAATCCAGCAAGTCCTTTCAGCTGTAAGGACTGAGACGTGACTGTGAGATGATGTGATTGGATTGGATTGTCACATTATCACATTAAGGTACAGTATTCGACAATCAATTGATTTAACAACAGTTGATTTTTCCTTCATTTTTTAATTTAATTCAGTTAAAAAGAATGTATTGAATAGACAACTTAACCATTGATTAATTCAACAAATCTTTAAGTAACGATTGAAAAACATTTGTCGAATCAATCAACTCAATTTATTCATGATGATACTCAATCGTAACAATAGATACGATCGATGACGATTGAACGTCATATTTCAAATCAATCAACCCATATTTTTTTAAGACGAATTAAGTCTCAATCGTAACTGTTGACAACGATTGAACATCATTTGCTGAATGAACCTTCACAGTTTGATCTTGACCACTACTCGATCGTAACGATCGATAACGATTGAAGATCATTTGTCGAATCAACCTCCACAGTTTGGTTATATTACCACTACTCGATCGAAAAGATCGATAACGATTGAACATTTTTTTGTCGATTCAATCAACTCAATGTGTTTATGATGAAGACTCGATCGTAACGATAGATACGATTGATAACGATTGAACGTTATATGTCGAATCAATCAACTCAATTTGATAATGGTAACTATTAGTACCATTATGATAAAGATTAAACATGATTAGTTATATTATATTTACAACTCAAGCACTGGGAGAAATGAACTCTATGAAAATAATATATGTAAGAATGGTGAACATAACAAGTACACATAATTGAAAAATGTACAAAAGTTGTGGCACAGGAACAGCGCTTTTATTAATTTGCTGTTTGAAAGATTTTAAACACAGATAATACCCTTTTAACCTTAATTCAAGTTTGAAGACGGTCCATATCACCGGTTTGAGC